AACGCATTGCAATGTGGCAAGGCGACAGGGGCGGTGTGACGGTTTCCAGGCCGCTCGTGCTCGTTTTATCTGCAAATGGTTGAATTTGCAATGTGTAATGATCTCTGTAAGGCAGTTAGCAGTGAGATAAACATCAATTTTATGGCTGGGAAAACATAAAGGGTGTTGCACAGAAAAACGAGAGGACCTGAATACTGAAAGCTCTCCGACCTCAACACGGTTGAGTTTAGCTCTTGCCTCTCTGTTGGCCCTCGTGCACCCCAATCCCTTCCCATGACGGGTTGAGCCGGGTGAGATGCCATGGCAGAGCCTGCCACGACGGGATGCAGGAGCAGCACAGCCTTTCCTTTAGGGATGAGGGATGCAAGTAGCAAGGATTCAGTACACACAGCTGAGAGTGAAGAGGTTTCCCTGAAGTGGGAATGAAGTAAGGCAAAGACTTCGAAGTTTTTGGGAACTTGCTTTGTAATAGGAGCTCATGCAGAAGGCTGGAGTTACCTTGCCGTTGCAGCCAGACCTGTACAGATGTGCTGTGAGTTTCACAAATAATAGCTTTTTGCCAGTCTGCTTCTTCGTTGGATACGACACGGGGTATAAAATGCTTTTTCTTAATCTGCTGTATGCTGAATGCCTCTGGAATGCAATTAATATTCTTGCTTAAGTCTCAAAAAAAACCCCCAAAACCAACAGGCATGTCTGGAGGTTGCTCAGTGTGAGTGTGGGAGTGGGGGTGGTGGAGGAGGGATGGCTCAGCCCCTCGAAGCTGGAAACAACCTAACGTGGGTGAAGAAGGGTGGAAAACCATTAGTGAAAACTGAAGCACACCAACTGGCTGGAGGACAATACGAAGCGATGCCATGCTGGCTAGATCGAATCCACACGATGGTGCTAATGCAGCGGCTGCAGGTGGGAGCAGGTGGGATCTCGGCTGCTTCAGGAGCCACCACCTTCCTCCATCACCTTCCTCCATCACCTTCCTCCATCACCTTCCTCCCACCATCCACCGGGATGTCCCTGGCTGGGAAGGCCCCAAATGCCACCTCCGACTGAAACTGGGGCTTGTACCGTCCCTTCCCTGTAAGCCTGGGAGGAATGATCAAGCTAATTAGTTAATTAGCTGCCATTGAGACTGATTGAGGATGAGGGCTCTCCCCATGCTGGTGCAGGTGCTCAGCCTGCCCGGGAACCTGAGCTCTTGGGTTTCCTGGGTGGTTTTTGTTTTCTTGGGCTGTGTGCGACATGTGATACGCTGTCAAATGTCTCGAATGCTGGCAGCATGTTCAGGGCTGGTATTTTTGCTGTACAGAATATTTAAGATGAGTTTTCACGGTTTATGTAGCTCTTTTACTACTTGCATTTCTGCCCCGCAGATGTGATGAGAGATGAGCTGGTTTCAATTTTTTCTTTTGACTGTAGCCAGCCCTTTCAAATTCCCCTGCGCTGTGACATGATGCTTAAGACATCCTCAGAAAAAAAAAAAAGTGTGTATATATGTATAACTCCCGTGTTTCTAGCGGGCTAAAGCTCAGAGAGGAACAAAGCTTCCTATTGATACCATTAAAAAAAAAAAAAAATTTAATCTCAGAACCAATTAGAAACAACACAAATCACCTAAAAATAGCTTCAGGTACTGAAGCCACCTGGATTTCTCCTCTTAGGTTACGAAGGGATCTGATGAGGCTTGGCTAATTCTTCTCACCCGTTCGGTTTGGGGTCGGGGGACTGGCCTGAGCGTCTGGGGCTGGCAGCGAGCAGAGCCCCATCGCGCTGCGCAAACACCTGGAGGGGACGAAGAGCGATGTTTTCCACCTCATCTTGTTACTGTGACAACAGCAGTGAAACCTTTTAAAGCAGAAAAATATTATTTTTTAAAGCGATAGTGGTGTCCCTTCAGCTCTGACAAACGCTTTCTGTAGCCTGTGCTGCCTGCTTCGCAAAAGTCCTGTAAGCACGATGGCAGTCCTACGGCACGGGGCTTGAATTTCCGAGAAAGCTGTGAATCCTTTTAAAACAGAAATTTCTTAGCTAGAAGCGATGTGGTTAAAGGGTTACTCTTTTCTTTTCCTCTTTCTAGCTCACCTGGTTCTTTTACATCTTTTTTGCCTTCCTTCACTTTTCATTTCCCAGCTCCTTCCCCTGCCTCTCTCCTCTTCCAATGCGCTTCTCTGCTTTTTCCTTGAGATTGGTGTTCCCCAGCTGTCCATTTTAAGCCACTTTTACTTGAAGCTTGGCGTTGCTGGTAGTGTTTCTTCCATCTCCTTCCCTAGCATGGGCTGGTACAGAATTTCCGCTCATCTCAAACACAAGCATCACAAGTTGCAGCTGCTTTTATGCAAGTCAAGCTCTCGAGTCTTCTTCACAACCCAAATTCCCCGGATGCCCAAGAAGCTGGGGCTGCTCTCAGCCTCTTGGTGCGATGCTGGTTGAGCCCTTGCAGGTTCCCAGTATAAACTGGTTGCTAGAAAACAGGTTGGAAACATCCAGCAGCCACCTCTTAGCTAGAAACCAAAAATTATTAGCCAGCACCCAGGTGGAAGTATGAGAGAGAGATATATATTTATACATTAAAAACGTGGGATCCTCATGGTCTCTAGGGATCCTTTCTAGCTTTCCCAGTAGACCTGACCTGTCCATAACAGATCTTTTACTTTGTTCAAAACCTCTCAAAGTTTTGAAGGGCAGCTGTGAAGCGGAGAGGAGATCTTCAGTTTTGTTCTGCCGAAGCAGCTTGGCAGCATGAAGCGAGCAATTCTCCGGTTTGCGTTTCTTCCCGTCGGCTCTCGGTACGGCTGAGTGCTAAGGATATTTTTTTATTTGAAACCTTGAATTCTGCAGAGACCGAGTGCTTGTTTCTTAGGACCACCAGGGAAAATTTTTTACTCTCCCAGCAGGGTGGGAATTTCAAGGTCTGAAGCTATAATATATGTCGTCTTCCAACATCATTAAAATAGGGTTTTTTTCTGACAGTGCCACCGCAAGGCAAAGGCTGTGATCCTGCCTGCGAGTCCCAAATCGGTCGGGGTGGTGGTGTCACGGTGGAGGTAATTTGCAGGTGTTCATGCAAAGCCGGGACTGTGAGGATGTGAAAAAAAAAAAAAAAAAAAAAAAAAAGGGAAAAAAGCTCTTTTCCTGCTGGTTCCTCCGTGCTGGCTGCTCTCACTCAGGGAACGGAGGCTGCGGGGTTAGGAACCGGTGCGCGCGTTCCCTGGCAAAGGGGGAGAAGGTGGCGCGTCGCTAGGCTGCTGGGTGGAAGACGCTGGCTCTTAGATCTAGTTTTTACTGTAGTTTTCTGTGATGCCATTTGCCTGAATTTACTCATTTTTCAGTTTTTAAGTTTTTTTTTTTTCTCAGTCTGGGAGAAGGATCTCCAGGTAGGAATCCCCGGTCACTTATAGAGCGGGGTGGTTATTGCA